AAAAAAAAAAAAATTGTCTCCAACTCTTTGTACATATTTTTACTTCAATTTGATTCTCGTTTCCTAACATTGTGCAAGGTCTGACTGCTATCTATCTCTTGAATTTTCTCATCTTCGTTTTGCTTGGGTGAAAATGTAAGAATTTCTTCTCTTCTAGAAATTTAGCTTTATTCGATAATGTTTAATTAGTCTTTACTTGTTGATAGTAGCATATACAAAATGTTTATAATTTCCTTTAGATTTCATTTCATCAATATTTGAGGTAGCGACTTCAATGTTTATTATGTGTCCTTGACATTTGATTTTCTTGTTTCCATGGTTATAGATTTTGGAACGAAGTAATGACCCTTCCAATATTGATTTACATTTAAAATTATTGTATGACAATTCTTAATGTTCTTGGCAGCTTCCAAAATTTGAGTTTAATGATCCAAAGACACCTTCCTACACGTCTCCGCGCTTTTTACCACCAACAAAGATTGGCAAGTGCAAGGAAAGCCATAAAAACCAGTATTTCTAATGATTCCATTTTATAATTAAGGTTTTCAAATTTTACTCGTTTTTCCCATATTAAAGATGCAATAGTTACACACAGTTGTTTCCTGCAAGAATGCATCATTGAAGAAGTTCAATGATGCTGAGATTGGATGGTGTGGATGTAATGGTCGAGAAGTTCATTTTCTTTGGATATGGATCTTCCTTTCCATTCTCCTTGTACATACTTGTCATTTGTTTTTGCAAATTACAACCTTGAAGAGATTTTTGAATTTGTAATCTAACATAGACAGATAGAAATATTAATCAATTTGGATGTCTCTATGAAATCCAAGAACTACTGACTATTTTTTATTTAGATTACTTTACTGCTTTTAATCTATTCCAAATTATAGAACATTACGACTATCAAGTCCAAAATATATAAAATTTAAAACGCTAACATCACCTTCAAACTAACACACCCCGTGCAATGAACAAGTTAAAACTAGTTTTAATAAAAGTTAATGAGATTTGTTGTTGAAAATTTGCGGATCCCATAAAATGTGTGGTTAAAATTAAATGCTGACTTTGATTTAGATTAAAATCTGATTTTAATCCAATGATAAATGAGTTAACATTCATCTTCATTTATTACTTCAACACTTACGAATAAAAAGTTAGGCCCTGTTTGATTTTGCTTTCTTTTTCATGGAAGATGGAATTTAAATTCCATTTCCACCTCTTTACATGTTTGATTGACTAGATTTTTCATGGAATTGGTTTTCTATATTTTTTTGGTTTTTGAGCAAAAGTTTTTCCCGTGGGTTTTGTGGGAAAAACTTTTCTAGACAACTTTTTTTTGGTAATGGAAACAAATTATATCCTTTTAATGGACAATTTTAATGGAAAACAAAGTCAAACGAACACCAAAATATTCAAAATTTCAATATTTTCCAAGTGGAAAATTCTACCAATCAAACACAATTAATTGAGAGTTTCCAGTAAAACAAGTTTTAGGTAATTCAATTTCCTGAAATTCATTTTCTTTACACCCAATTCCATTCTTGCAATCAAATAGACACTTATTGATCACACGGTCAATTATACACAACATTATCCGTCTATTATTCATCTTAATTTCATCCGTTCACTTGAACAAAAAAATAAATGTATCTGATGAAAATCCTAATTGGCAACACACATCATTATTCGATGACAAAATTGAATAAAAAACCCTTTGATTTTGTAGCCTTTTTTGTTCGATTTAAAAATAAAATACGCTTTTGGTACCTCGCATCAAAAATTGAAAATCCCCAATTTTTTGAAAAAAGAGAGATAAATGTTTCATTAGCTACCGAACTTTGCACCATATCACGGCCTACTCCCCGAGCTTACAAAAGCATCCCATTTCTCATTAAACTTTAATCCATCATTCCCCGTTATTCACTGAATGGATGTCGTTTCATTTGAAGTTGACATGGAGGACGAAATTCAAACGTGGACTGTTAACTCCTTTTACATGTTATAAATGTGAGTAATGCTACACTTACACACTAAGTTCACATTTACTTTTGCGTCCCTCTCACATAGGGGGTGGGGCCCGCAATTTTTAAAATTGTGGGTCCAACCCCCAAAAATTGTGGGTCCCACCCCCATGTGAGGGGGATGTGAAAGTGAATGTGAACCAATATGTGTACATATAACATTTTTGTATAAATGTTTCTTCACATCAGTGAAGGAGAAAATGCATCTTTACCTGGTAAAAATTGCGGGTCCAACCCCGAAAAATTGTGGACCCCACCCCCATGTGAGGGGGATGTGAAAGTGAATGTGAATCAGTATGTGTACATTTAGCATTTTTGTATAANTTTGTTGTTATGGGGTTTTTAATTCAATGCCCACGCTTACACTTCATAAAAAAAAAAATCTACCGGTTATATTTTAGGATTGGAATTGTCAGTTCAATTACTAGTAAAAAAAAAAATCTATCATTTTGTCTTAATAATCTTGCGATATTGGCAACATTTAATCAATAATTACGCACGTTTGACAAAGTTTAAATGCATGTTGTTGGATAGAGATCAATTTTTATCTTGTTGACATTCAAGCAGGATTAAATTTTTTATTTTGTTCTTATTGATAATGTTTTAGATTGAATATTTATTGACGATATCCTCCTACAATAATTCATATGTTATGGTACTGTGCGGTAATGGTAATTGATAGTTGATACTGAGTTCCTATTCGATGATGTTAATTATAAGCGGTAAGCATAAATGTGTGGGTGTTTGTATTGCCAATTCATTAGGATAACTGCATGCCTATTTTCTGAG